CATACATTCCTTGCCTAGAGACGCTAACGCCTTAGATACACGATCAGGAGTGTCTTCTATATTCTCGATAGTACCAAGTTTGACTATTGGTTTTTTGTCCCAAGAAAACTCTTTTTCGATAATATAATTTGTTGTCATTTTTACAGACAAAAAAATATTAAAATATTTGTTATGGAGATTTAGTTTCTTATATTTACAATAATGATTGACTTAATATAACGTAATCATGATTAGTGACGTCGTACGCGTATATATTATATACTCGTTGTACTATGTATTGTATGTACTGTACGTCACCCAGTTGAGATTTCGCCGATCTTATATCTTTTTTAATTTACAAATATATCTAATATATATTTCCATTTGCCGAAATACCAAGTTGTATACAAAGGTCATTTCACTCATTATTCAAAATTATATGATTCTTAGAGCTTTATTTCCTCCAAGATCACATTTAAACAAATTAGATACTAAGAAATTGTTATCAGAAGGGTTACCTGGATTATATTTGTCTTTTATTCTTCCTGGATTTTTTGTTTTTTTTCAGTATAACTCTATCATCACTTTATATTTATATCATGTATCAACAAGAAATTGGTTCAATTCCAATTTTAAATCAATATTCCGATTGGAGTTTATTGGAAATCATTTCTGAATTTGATTTCTACAATTCAGTACTCCAGCTTTTGATTTTGCTTCGGCGTACATTTCCATCATATCATCGATCTATTACAACCCAAGCATCACCACGAAGTTCTCCATTGGAACAATATAAACATACTTGTAGTACATCTTGGATCGTAAGGCCCTCGGAGGCACATAATTAACATCCCTGTCCAAAGTATCTGAATTCATAAATATAGAATTTCGGCTGGAACGCAAGAAAGACATTGCATAACCTTTGTAATCATTTTGTGCAGTCAAATGTGAAACTCTATTCTTTAACATAATTTGCGTGCCTCCAAGTTGTAGATTTCCTGTATAAACTTCTCTTCCCAACTCTTTATTCAATGCTGGTGATCCGGTTAATATTACGTGTTGACCCTCATTTTTAATTATACACTGTCCCAACCTTACTAAGTAAGCTCCAATATCTTAATAAAAATAATAAGAAGGTTAAAAAAAAATTTTTTTTTAAGAATGACTTGCAATGAATACATACAAACTGAACGACAAGTAACTAACATTATTGTGAAAATGTCCTCATATGCTCGCGATGTTATCCCAGCGAATAATCCTGAAACCTCCCTCAACACAAAGCCCATCTTTTGATCCAATAATGTCGGTGATTTTGTCGTGTATCTCCTTCCTCAACAATTTCTTCCGCGATAACGTGTTTCCTTCTATTTTGATGTAATTGCTTATATGTCTCCGAATCAAGATAAAGATATTTAATACCTTTGCTTGGATTTTCTTTATCAATCCATGCAACGTTAAAATGATTCATAACTTCTTCTGCCAATCCAATCCTTGCACCAGAATTTGCTGTCTAGGTATTCCAATGATCTTGCCAATTCGGTTGCTTTGTAGAAAAATTGATCTTCTAAAGGACAAAAAGATCCAATGTGATATGTGATATTATTTGCAATCACAATAAACTTTCCACCTTTGGGAAATTCTGGGTAAAAAGTGTAAAAATCCATGCAACCATACCAAATGAATTCGTTCCCGAAGCTCTCTCCACTTCTTGTAAATTATTATTGAACTATGATGAGATGCACGATTCCATCGTATTCTAATAGCTTGGCGAAATAATTCGGGAAAATCGTAAACCACTTAAATGAGCCTTATAACGCCTTGGTTGAAGCCATTCTTTTGTTGGTTAAGGTGTGTGGGTTGGTTTAAGAATCCAGCTTTCAAATTCTGTCTTCAACTCCTGATAAGTTTCTATTTTTTACCAACATACCCGGAGACATTATTAATGATGACACGTTAAAGGATAACTTGTTCCTAATGTGGTTTGAAACGAGCTTCGGCTCCGGTCACACGCAATCTCCATAAGCTTTGCCGTGCTGATCAATAAATCCTTTAACAGCTTCCTATCTTGTTTTGGTTCTAACACAAATGTTGGAATGAAATTTATAAATAAATGATTGCAGTCAGCATTCTTATGTTCTGAATTAACGATCTCCATAAAATCCAAAATCTCATTCAATAATCTGTCGGACTCCGAGATTAGGTAATCCGCTGCGCGCATGCTATTTCGCAACCGACCAGGACGAACTAAGGATCGAATGAAAAATCTACATTCCGAAGTATTTTCTTTACCAACGGCATAATAAACGTCAATCTGTCTATTGTCAGTAAAGCAAGGAGTAATATCGAAATTGGATAACCTCAAGTTGATAGGCCATGGTTGGTTCGATATGACGAATTGTTTGATCCTCAGTATAATCTGTTGTTTCATGGAACGTGAAATACCCCGGATATTGACCTTACTAAATAGTACAATAATAATTCTTCGTAGCCTTAAAGCGAAGCGAAGTTCAAAACATTATTTATATTGTTTCTATTTGATAGATCTTGAGATTTCCATCCTTGGACAGTTTGTATTTTTGGAAAAAGTTTTATAATTCGTGGTATATTTCTTTCTATTTCTTCATTCAAAGTGCATGTAATCATGGCGCAAACATGAAGTGGTTCATTCT